CCGACCCAGTCAGTGTCTCATCTGGATGTCAATCACAAATCTCAGGGCTCAGGGTTTCTCTCTCTCTCTCTCTCTCTCTCTCTCTCTCTCTCTCTCTCTCTCTCTCTCTGTGTGTGTGTGTGTGTGTGTGTGTGTGTGTGTGTGTGTGTGTGACACACACTGACACACAGAGCCACATGGGTGCATCCTATCTGGACACACATCATGCAGCTGGTCGTCCGTACAACACTGGAGCACTCACAATCCCTCGGCGATGTGACTCTGTTCCGCCTGTTCGTGTGTGACGTCCGCTGAGCTCCATCTGTATCCCAACCAGCGACAGCCCAATTGCAGGGCCAAGGACCTCACTCCACCACTCGCTAATAATTTTGCGAAATGGTGAAATGTATACTGGGCTAAAATGTGGCAACAGACGCTCTATAATTTTGACATTTGCGGTCTGCTGTATCGACCGCGCTCACGTCTCTCTCGGGCATACCGTGAGTCGCGGGGAGGTTTTTTTTTTTTTTTTTTTTTTTTTCGTGTCATCCTTGCGGATGCCCTAGGTGCCGTGCTAATCTTCTCTGTATCGTTCCTTGCGGATGTCCCGAAGGACGTCGCGGGGAGTTGCGAGATGCTGTGTTTGTGGGCCAGTACTTGGCCCAGCTATCGGCCAGTACTTGGCCCAAGAGCCTAGCTTAGTGGGTCCACCCATGAACTGTTGAAATACAGACCTGTGTTCGAATACAGATGATGGAAAGTGACGAGTAAACCCAACTACTAATGAATTGCTTGGGGGCGCTCAGCTCAATGATAATATCTCAAGGCTGTCGCCCTTAAAAAAAAAAAAAAAAAAAAAAGTAGAAACGTCTCTACTCGGATAAATTTGGGCGCTCCTGTAGTGGCCCGTCACGAGGCCTCCCCTTACCTGCTCACCGAATGTGACGAAGAAAAGAAATTGCCACATGCACCTCTCCACCAGTACCTCCCTAAGCTATCGATGCCGAGGCTCAGCCGACCGGTTTGCCGAACCTTACCGAGCCTCGGCCTACCGGTACTACAGTATGAAAAAAAAGAAGGGAGAGAAAAAAGGAGAAAACAAAAAACATCAGCTATTAGTAAGGTCTTTTTTTTTTTTTTTTTTTTTTTTTTTTTTTTTTTTTTTTTTTTTTTTTTTTTTTTTTTTTTTTTTTTTTTTTTACCTAGTAAGGTCTTCAGCCAACAGGGGTCTGAGTGGGTTGCGTGTGTGGGGAGACTGTTGGCTTTAGACACTACCGTTACTCGATGGGGGTGGGGGAAGATGAAAAGGGAGGCACAGTTACTGGCAAATGCTCGGTCCTTGTGTTAACCGGGCCCCCACCGGCGGCCCCAACCCTGCACCCTAAACGCTAGGGCAAAGGGGCAAACCTGCCGTTACCCCTCTCCACCGAGAAAGGTAACTTCCCTTCACTGCAGAGAGGTAGAAAGCTATGCTTGCAGGGGCCGCCTGTATAGCCTTAGGAGTAGTGGTAGGTTCTGGAAAGAAACATATGTTCCATGACATGGCAGAACGCCAGTTAAAAGATATGTGAGGTGAGAGAGAAATATATATATTCCAGTTGATGTAGCTCAGTGGTTAGAGCACCGGTTGGAAATGCGCGTTGTGGTATGAGGTTGCGGGTTAAAATCCGTAGCCTTGCGCATCGACACCAGCAGGGCATTAGAATGACGCACGGCTGGACACCCCCCCCCTTGGGATGACGCAGGTTATCTATTTCAGACACTGCCTGCGCACCACCCAAGGGTTGTTCATGGTGTTGTATGTTGGTTCTGGGTTTCACACGGGTTGCTTGGGGGTGTTGGTCTCGGGTGTTCTGTTGTGATGAACCACTTTCCGTAGTGCGCGACTTTCTGCGCAGCTACAATGAGGGGTCATAAGCTGGGAAGGTTGGGCCAATTACGGGAGATTGGGATGGATGGGAAATTGCATCGGTGCCCCCGTTTCTTCGTCTTTTTCGTCGCCTCTTTTCGGTGGGGTTCAGGGCCGGGTGAGTCCCGGGACGATCAATTGATTGATTGGCTGTGTCTGCGACATGCTGTCAGGCGCGCGATTAATAACTGTTGACGCCGTTTCTTTTGTTTCGGTTTTGGAATTTGGGCACGGACATCGGGCGGGAATTTGCTTTGTTCTTTTTGAATTTTCTTTTCGAAACCTTTTTCGAATTTCGTCGAGCCCCGATGACTCTCGGAATTTCGGATTTTCTTTTCGGAGTTTTTACTTTTTGCTTTTTCACATTTAGATAGGAATTTGGGAATTTTGCAATTAGGGCTTCTTTTGCCGCGCGACGCTTTTTGCTTACGCGCTTCTTTATGCGGCTGCAACGAAATTCTGATTAGTCGGCGCCCTTAATCGGGAGTGTAACTGTAATTTTGGGCGGGCGTCATTGTAACTGTATCTCTCTTTTTGTGCTTCGTCTTTCCCGCCCTTCTTCTCCTTCTCTTGCTGCGTTTTTGGTCGCCGCGCTCTGCATGATCGGATTGATGCGTGGAGAGCGGCTACGTCCCCCACGCCTCGATCGGACCATACGAACGTAGGCAATCCCTCCCCCTCTGATCTTTCTTCTAAGTCCTTGTAATTCCGTGTTCCTCGCGCATGCATGCACGCTATAAATCTCGGTTGCGCGATTAGTTAGCTCTTAACCAGCTGTTGGAAGCTCGGGGTTGCGCGATCAGAGAGGGTCGGCACACGAGCGAAGCAAGAGGTGAGTAGAGCAGGAGTCGGGCGACCCGTCGAGCTGGTTCCAAAGAGAGTTGGTTAACCGTGCCCTCATTTTTCACCTCAATTTATAAGAAAACCATAAGGCCATTTCAAGCAAACTCCACACCAATGTATAGAGTGCACTTCTTACTAACATATTATGAAAAAAAAGCAAAAAAATAAAATAAAAAACATATAAAACAGCACCTCAAAAGTGCATTTTCAATAAATTTTGCCAAAAAACAATTCATCGAAATTTCGGGATTTTATGATGATCAACAACACAAATTCTACTAACCCTAATGACACCAAATTTGACACACAACAAGCTTGTGTGGTGCCAAACGCGCGGGGTTGACGCGGGCCACGACGGACTAGGGGCGCGGGCAAACCTGACAGGTGCGGGAGGACTAAGCGGGGTGACGGCTTCGTAGGTTGGTGCGCGATGACGAACTGTCCGCATCGGAGAAGAAGAGAGAGGGAGAGAGAGTTGAGGTTGATAAACGCGGATTTGTTGTTTCTTTGTCTTTTCCCTCTCCTTGCCTCTGTGTATAAATTTTGACTTCGGCTCCGGGCGATTTGCCCCTTTTTCTATTTCTCGGAATTTGGACTTGGATTTTTGCTCACACTTGTCTTCGCGATTTCCATCTTAGATGTACTGTGTGTATGATGCTGAATAAATGAATGTATGGATGCAATGTTTGGTCACTTATCTTTCTAAGAGAATCCTTGCCTTTGTCTTTGATTATGGCAGTTGATGTACTCGTAAGTAGGATAGAAATTTTGCATGATCGATATTTTTTTTTGGTTTCTGCTTGTCTCTTGATTGGGCTGTTGTGGCTGTTGCATGCTTAAAAGTTGTAGGGCGATCAGATAATCGAAGGCCTAGTCCAACGAACGCCGCGCGAAGACGCGTGTAAACGCGATTAGATTCTCGCCTTTACATGTGTCCCCGTGCGTCGATTCGACCAAGGCAGAAATACTGTCTGATTGAATATAACCATTCGGGGCCGCGACGGAGCAATCCTCCCGGGCGAACACACGTAAGTGCGACTCAGTTCGCACAAGCCTGCACGTGCTCACCCGTGGAAATCGCAATCAACACAGACCCGCCCTTAGGCATCTCGTAGGTCTGCGATGACAAGATTATACGATCCTGGAATTCGGATTCATCATACAAGCCGGACTACTTCACCCCTTGGATAAACGAGATCCTCCGACAGAGATACCCTCGCCTAACCGAGAACCGAATGTGCGCCAGGGAGTTTCACTACGCCACCACTAGCGACCCCCGGTGCTCTAATTTCCCCTCTCCGGACCATACCTACTATTTCACCCACCCCGGATTTTTTGTTATTTCCACTAGTTTCCCTCTCTTTCGCCTTCTTCTTCCATATCACCAACTCAGTGTCGTCCCGTGGCCAGCCATAGCCCTATACTGGCCCAATACGCCCTGCGAAAACTGCCGACGACATGGTGAACAGAGGACCACGGAATCTTGGAGGCCCAACCCAAACGCGCGACGACCGGCGCCATATGACAACTCCCGACGGCCTGACTCATCGGAACCCCACCCACCCCGAAGGGACCCTCCCGCGAACCGCCGCCCCCGGAACCAATGGCTCGCCCGACCCTGAGCGACCCACGCATGCCATCTGCCTTGTGAACAGAGGCGGTCCGCCCTCTCCGCCAAATTGCACGCGTGCCCCCGAAAAACCCTACCACAGGAAATCTCAGTTCTGACATGGGACTCCACCCACACTTTCCCAAAAATCCTTGGCACACCCCTTTTCGCACTTCTAGGCCCACATCCTATTCCGATTAGGAAGTCGCGCTGGGCGTGAGGTCGGTATCGGAGCTCGACACGTGGTCGGGTTTTAAGATTAATAGCACACTAATTGGGCGATCTGGCTAACTGAGGGCGACTTCGACCCCGGAACGTGCATAGACGCGACCCCATCGTCACCCGAAGTAGATCGGCTAATCGATGGGCCGCCAACATGAACACTAATGTACAAAATCCGAATCCGCAGCAGAATGCTAATAAACCGAATCCTAATCAACCCAACCCACGAGCACAGGCTCCCATGACGCCACCTGATCTCTATGTATTTGACCCTGTACACCACCTTGCAGGAGCATGGTTGGCCACGCTCCGAGCAAAGCGGTATGACGATAACAAAGCTCAGGTAAACATCCCCGCTCGATTAGGAGGAGACACTCATCACTGGTTTAGTACCTATGTATGGGTAGATTTTCAGACCTTCGAACGAGACTTTCTTAATCGATTTGATTATGTCCACCCAGACCAAGCACTTTGCATGATCAAGGACCGGGTTCAAAAACCTCTCGAATCCGTTGCAGAGTATCGAAACCGGTTCTATCGAATGTTTGTGAAAACTGAGCGAGGTGAGCGAGTAGGAAGAGATTTGTTCATAGACGGACTTCGCATCCGAACGATAAGGGCGAAGCTGCGAAAGCAGTTTTCCCCCATCAATCATACCCTACAATAGATCATGGTCGCTGCAGAAGAGATTGAACGAAAGTTCGCGGCAAACTTCCTGGAAGGAGAAGACTATTCTAGGGAAGGAGATTCGTCCGAACTCACAAGAGCAAGAACAAAGCTGGCTGCGTTGCAAAACAAGTTCGAAAACATGGGGTTTGTGTCAGGACCTGTCACTTATATGGAACAGATAGCCCCTAAACGACCAGCCCCGAGTGTAATCACGAGCGTCCCTGTTCCTGTGATGCCAACACCTGTAAGAACGACAACCCCACCACCAATTGAGACTCTCGTACGATCGAATGAATCAACTGCCATATTCGAACTGACCAAAACATTGATTAGTCTAATCCAGGAAAGCAAAAAGGAAAAGCGAGAGCATAACACTCGGTTAGAAGCCATGATGAGAAATATGCGGCCCATTGCGGTGCGTTCCCCTCTGATCCAACAAGGGCTGGCCCCGACGCCTGCTCTCGGGGGAGCCACAAACAATCTAAATGTCTGTTACGCATGCCATCAGCCAGGGCATCTAGCTCGTGATTGTCCCCACCGACCCCCGCAACAATGGGTCAGAGTGGCACCAATGCCCACAACCCCTATCGCTAACGGACCTGGACGGGTAGGAGCCCTAATGGAAGAGATGGAAGGTGGGGGAAGTGCGCTAGCAACCATGAAAGAGGCTGCTGAGCTCATCCCGTTAGATCAGTATGTATCGCTTGGTTATCCTGGGCTCGGAATGATCGGAACGATCAGACCGACG